AAAAAAAAAAATAAAAATAAAAAAATAAGAAGGCAGGGGCTGGGTTTGCCCGGGCAGTATTGTCTATTGTGTGATAATGTGTGTCAGCTTTCATGATTAATCTAACATGGATTCCCCTTGGTGATAATAAGTTGTTGGGGCGTGATTACTCAAGATGATCAATGTGGGGAAGGTTGAGCTCTCTCTCCTTTTCCCCCCTTCAAATGGAGAGTCATAACTTATAACCCTTCAACACTTACACAGCATGAAATCATATCTTTTGACCAAGACTTAGACCCACCTGCTCTCTAATAAGCTTCCCCCCATGCCTCCCCACGACAAAGCTAGCTAAGCTGCAGTTATGTACCCTGACTTGAAAGAGACATGTAGCAGTAATTATAAGAAGAAAGAGGTGAATCCCACGTCTTTTTGAGTGTTCTATGGAAGCTCTCGAAGGAAACCTAGCGTTAACACTCACAGAGAAATTAAAAACACTAGTACAGAACATAGACATAGACAGCATAAAAGATAACCAGGAGAAAGGTCTATCGATCTCTGCTTTGCTTTGCTTTGCTTTGCTTTCCTTTCCTTAGACACACTCTTCAACTCAATCATAAGAAGGTCGGTGCACGCCTTTCCAGCCCCACCCTTTTCTTTTTTCTAGGAAAAAAAAAGCCTTAAAATCAGCTTCAAACATTACATAGTAACAAATTCTTCTGGGTAAGGATGCTGGTAATCTCAAATTTTACTACTGTTAATTCCGCTACGCGTGCTACCAGCTAATTAGCCACGTGGACAAAAGATACTGCTACTAGGTAGAACCAATAAAACTTCAAAGTGCATGCGAGAGAGTTCAACTTCTTTTTTGCTATTAAATGGTGAGATCGAGACTCTGGGTTGTTTCTTATTTGATAGCCGAGAAGGCTTTCTCTAACTCTACCACTTCACCAAACCGGACTGACACGATCCGTCGCCGTTCTAAGAAACACCCTTAACAAGACAAGAAGTTGGAAATCGATGATGGAGCATGATATGATAGAGTTGGCTCAGTTTCAGTAGTTGCACACATGGTTGAATTTGAGCAGCCTGCATATTTCCAACCATTGGATGATGGACCCACTATGGAGTCATGATACCACATGAGCTGGATGGCTAAATTATGATGACCACCGCGACGATAGCATCAGGGCCCAGCATCCTTGGAGTAACCGTAAAGTTGTGTATCGTACCTTTGTAGTTGCTCAGCCGTCAAGGATCTTTATGCAGTTGCAGTGCAGCCCAAAAGAAAGAGAGCTAGCCGGATCACTACTGATAACCCAAAATGAAGATCAAAACATGCAAAATAAGTTGTTTTTGTCTTTTAATTAAACATTTTCTTCTTCTTCTTGATTATTAGTCATGAATCATGAATAGGGAGTGCCCCTTTATCAAATATTAATGGGTTTTCCCTCTCTGTAAATGTTTTCGTGGAAATTAATTAATATAGCTTCACATCTAGGTTTTATATATCTAGCGCCTAAATCCTACCAAGTCTTTTGAGTTACCCATTCAAAGTGAACAAGATATAATAAACAGTGCTCGATCAGTTCACAGAGAATGGACAAAAGAAGAGAAAGCTACTGTCAATGTCGAGAGATTGGTCTGGCTGCTGCTGTACATGCATGCTCAGTTTCCGTATTTGGGAAAAGGGTTCAACTCTATAATTCCATTTAATTGGTAAGGGTGTACTTTTGCATATTCCTAGCTCTAGCTATGCCAACCTTCCTTCCTGCAATTGGATCACCCAAGTCCAATAATCCGATTAAAGAGGCCTTCTCAGTTTTTTATTTTTTCTTCTGTTTTCAGGGTACGAGGGCTCTCCAATCTCCATGACAACGAGTCGGAGAGTCGCATGTTATTCCCTATTGTATATACATTTCATCTTAGAACCCGGCCGATTAACAAAAAATATGAACGATGATAGTCAGGGAAAATTAAGCATTTTAATTGAAAGTAGCAGATGATCTCTAAGCAATATTGTCATCTAGCTATCAGATGGATCAGGAAAGATGATAAAACCGACAACCGAAACCGTTTTTTGTTTTTGTATTTTTTTTTTTTTTTCGCTTGGTTTTTGTGTGTTCTGTTTTTTCATGGGGCTACACAATCGAAACCGGATTCCTCACAGAATGGTCCTCGATGCACAGCTGCAACTGGTGTGAGGTGAGTGTGAGTGGGTGCAAGGACCATTCTGTCAGGATGAAATCCGGATTCTATTGGGGTTTCAGATTTCCTCACCATTCAGAGAATGATCCTCAGAACGGCATCTCTTTCTTGTATGTTTTTTTTCACGAGGAAATGTTTCCAATACATTGCTGAAAGTGCAGTTAGGTGGGTGTAAGGACAAGAAATCTGGATTCCAGAATATGGTCCTCGCACACATATCATACTTGTATTGTTTTCATTCCATTGGAGTTCGGAAATCCAAATTCTGCACAACAGGGCAAGGGTAGCCCATCCCCCATCCCCTTCAGGCCTAGACCCTCTACCCCAATGTAAGGGTAATCCAAAATCAATTTAGATGAATTGGATGGACCAATAAGACATATTGGATTGGATTAATCTAGCCCAAAATATTTATTAGATTGGATTGGATCTGATCCATCCGTAATAAATTTATATTGGACTCGGTTTGGTTAAGCCAATATCTGGTCCATTGATATAAGATAAAAATATAGGCGTCAATGGACTGAATTTGGATTGAAACCAATCTAAATCAAAACGAATTTGAACAAATTTGATGGTCCAAACATTTAATTAGACCAGTCCAAAATATTTATTGGATTGGATTGGACCTGGTCCATTTATAATGGACTCACATTGGACTGGATTGGATTGAACCAAATCCAGTTCAATTGACACCCCTACCCCAATGGAGTGGTAGCAAGATTTGAATTGGGATTAGCTGAACGTTTTAGCTGTTCAGCGGGCTGTGGAACCAATGATGAGGTTCCACACCAATAATAAATTCATGGGCCCCATAACCTTATCATTGGTTCCACAGCTCACTGAACAGCTAAAGCGTTCAGCTAAACCTTGCTCGCGAGATTTGATCCCAAGTTAACAATTGAGCCACCATTAGTTAGACTGCCTGGGTCTTAGAAGTGTTGATTTGGTTAAACAAACTTAACCCATATCTGCCCCAAAATGGGGCAGGTTTTGTAAATTCTAGACTCTACCCACCTCCCTAACCTCACAACCCGTATCTGCCCCAAAGTCCACAGCGAGTTGGATTTTGAGAATCAAAACCCTTCCTCTTACATGAAAATGCAAAACCATCCCCACATTCAAGGGTAAGGTGGATTGTAATTTTCTATTATTTTTATTATATATAAGCAATAAATAAATAAAATAACTCAAACAAATAACAAAATTTTCAATTATTTGATTAAGCCATATAAAAAAACACAAACTACTAATTATTCTTTACATAAAAATCAAAATATTATTAAACTCAACACCTAATATATAAAATTTATATGCTTTTTATTAACCTAATACTACTCTACCTGTATCCATACAGATTGTAGAATCTTAAACCTGTCCTTCAAACAAAAAAAAAAAAACCTCCCCGTTAGGATGAGTAGGGGCAGATACCCACCGGATAGAGTAGAAATTACCGTCCCTAAAAATAAATGTATTAAACTATTAATAATAAATATAAATTCTAGAAAAAAGAATCTATGCGGCTGTAAGGACATAATACTGGAAGGTAAACTGTGAACTGTTTGAGAGCTACCTGCACTTGATGAAACGCTAACATGGATGTGGGATTAAAAAAAAGTCATTGCCATGCTCCCATGTCCCAACTCCCAAACAGCCAAAGTTTAGTGCAACGTTTGCTTTAAGTTTATTTTGACGAAAAGTAACTTTAAAAGATCATCTGTAACAATTTTCTAATTTTTATTATGCTTAAAATTTTTTAATTGGACCAAATTGAGTGGTCGAACAGGACAGTAACCACTCAACCCGTGATCCAGTAACAAAAAACGGTTTTCCGTCAATTGGACCAAATTGACGAAAAGTAACCACTCAACAAGCTGTCAATTCCCTCTTTTTTTCATTGATAAATTAATAAATAAATAAGTCCAAAACATGACAATCATACGACTGTCTAATGTCATGAGACTCATGACTCGAACAAAAGAACTGACCAAAATATCAACATCAATTAGCTTCAGAACAATAAACTATCTGTACTTGGCTTTTACATCACATTTCCACACATTGAACAGCCATCAACAGAGAACATTACACCTAGAAGGGCCACAGATCACCCCAAAGAGACCTACGAGCCTGTCGATGTAGGGTAGGATTCTTACTCTGTGTGATGACCACACGCTCAAAGGACCCCTCTGAGCCATCACGTTTGGTCGATCGACAGACATCCATTGCCACTTGTCTGCCCCTCCGAACAGGAGTGAAAATAATCCGGCCCCAACCACTCCCTAGATCAGCATGAGCTGCTTCCTCTTCTTCTTCATGCTCATCTATCGCATCAGTCTCTGTAATATCTGAGTCATAAGAAACTGGGTCTTCTTCGTATGGAATATCCTCATCCTCTGACTCGAATTGGTACTCTGTCATGACATGAATAGTATGCAGGGTTAGCATGCATCCATACTTCATTCACTCATTTTGACAATCCAAAGAGAGAGAGAGAGAGAGAGAGAGAGAGAGAGAGAGAGAGAGCTTTGATAACCTGAAGAGTGAAGAGAAGTCTAGCAATTGACATAAAACAGGCACATACCAAAGTCAATCTCAAGATCTTCAGGATTACGTTTAGCGTGTTGTTCCTTTAAAGTATCAAATTTCATGCCATCAAGTGGCCAAGGCTCCCTGTTACAAAATGATCAACCGAAACCAAAATATAAATAGAGTCAGCTTTCAACAGCCAAGCTTTGTTTTTTGGATCAGCAACAGAAAAATCTTTTATTAATTAGAAGAA